AGGCATCGCTCGGACGTGTGCATTTTTCCTCCGGCGAGGACCATCGAGGAGCATCCTTGATAATTTGGCGAAAAAACAACGCGCGAAAGCGAAAAAACACGGGGAATGGACGTCCGAGCGATGACCAGAGGCGGGATCCTTGGGATACGCCCCAATGGGGGCTAACGGTACGCACCCCCAGCGAGGGCGGGCGCCCCCCATCGTATATCCCAGGGTTGGGCCGCAAGTGTCTGGTCTATTCTTACCAACCTCGAACGTCTCCCTATCCCTAAGACTGACACGCCAAAAGGCGATGACAATCTTAGGGATCCGCCCTCAAAAAATAAGGGAATCCCTAATATTGGCATCGTGATGAGGAGGTGCCCAGCACAGGGATAGGGATATGTTCCAGGCTGGTGCTGCGTAGAGCCAAGGCAAGATTCGCTTGGAGAAGAAAGCCCTCCGTTCGTGTCACTGTTCGATGGATTAATAATATTCGGCTGCAACTCCTGGGAGGTCAAATTCTGATTTTGCCCTGGTCCGAAATCCGGCTTAATCCCGCTGAATCCCGCTGAATCAGGGTTTACGCCCGCTGAATCCAGCTCAATCCGGCTTGGTCCGAGACCCATTCCGGCGTAACAGCTCCCAAATGGGGCTAAATCCTCTTGAATTCGTCCGGCGAAAACTTCCCAGTAGCTGCCTCCTAATTAATATGATCGTGCGCGGCGTCAAGGCGAGAGCCCCATTACTCAAGACCACCTGCCCGTCATCCGTACAGCCTTTGGACATTTCAAGTGTTGGTATCGTTACCGGTGATGCCATTCTCAGATAACACGCCTAGTCCGCACTGGCGTCACGTCTGGTGGTGCGACAGGGGGATGATGTGGAAGGAGGACGGGTGAAAGATGAGCATGAGCAGTTGCAGCAGCAGGCAAAAGTAGGGCATGCAGCAGTAGAAGCAGAAGCAGGAGCAATGATGGGAGCGGCGGCGGGAGCAGGGCGGGGTCAGGGCAAGGGGATGAGGGAGTGTGGTGGGCGCAGCTTCAAAGGAAGCCCTGGCCGCCGTCAACGGAAGCGAAGACGACGGCCAGGGCCGCCAGAAGTTCCTCGCTCGGTGAGTCCCTCGCCGCCGCGAGCGCGGCGCAGCCGGACGTGGCGACGAGGGGGGCCCCGAACAAGCCCGGACGAGGAGCCCCCAGACAGAAGCCCAGACAGGCTTCCGCTCCGACCGCAGCCCTCCGACGGAGGACCAAGGCCAGGCGGAGTCCGCCCCCGCGGGGACAAAAACGGGCAACCCCCAGCAGCCGCCGGCGGCCGCCCCCACCCCACGGGGACGCGGGTTCGCACACCAAGTGCGAGCCCGTACCCAAGCGGACAGCCCCCAAACCGACGCCAAGGGCCGCCGCGCCAAAATTTCAGAGGCGAATCCAGCGGGCCCGAGCCGTCCTCAGCGCTTGCGCGGGCGGCGCGCGCGGCGCTGCTCAGGGCGGGCGGCTTGGAGCGCCCGGAGTTCAGCCTCCATCTTGACCACCTTGTCGGCGACGGCGGTCTGGACGAACTGCCGCTGCAGGATCACCAGCCGTCGCCGTCCACCAGCGTGGCCACGCTCGTCGAAGACGTCATGGTCCTCGCCACCGCCGCTAGGGTTGGACCGCGCAACCACCGCCTTCAGCCAGTCGGTGGCCATGGAGCTTGGGCCGCACTGGATGTCAGGCTCCATCCGCACCCCAAGCTGCTCCGCCCCTGGCTTCGGCGAGAAGTGACCGTTCGGCGAGAACCGATCCTCCGCCAGGGAGCACGTCCGGACCTCGCCGCCCTTGAAATCCGCATCGCCCGCCAGCGCCGCCGTTACGACATCGGCGGGCTTACCCAGGGGCTCCTCCTGCTCCTCCTTCTTGGTGCCGTCCGCGCCCACGAGGCGAGCCACGTCCATCTCGTGCACGCCCTGGCCGATCATCTTCAGCGCGTCGCCCTCAGAGTCGCTCGCGCCGAACCCGTCTAACGCCTGCTCGGGGCCGTTCGTGACGACCATCTGCTCCGCAATGGTGCCGTCCACGTCCTCGGGCAGGCCCACGTCCCACGCGTGCACGTGCTTGCCGAGCGACTCGCTGAGGCCTACGCTCGTGGAGGCTGCAGCAAACGCAGGGACGCGAGACAGCACGTCCGCCCGCAGCTCGAGGAACAGGTCTTTGAGGTCCAGGAGACTGGCCTGGACTGGCTGCTCGTCGAAGCCGTCGTCGTCCACGAACTCGCCGACCACGGAGACCTTGTCGGGCTTCGCGTCGACGAGCAGGCCATCGCCGTGCACCTCCGCGACGGCCTCCTCGGTGGTGTCAGTGCCGACGCCGGTGTCGCGCCCCTCCACAGACATCTCCCCGACCTCGTCGGCCTCCCCGTCCGAGCCGATGAAAAACTCCTTCACGCCGGGCATCTCGGCCAGGTCGCCGTTCTGCGCGGGCACCGCCATGGTGTCGGCCTTGCCCAAGAGGCAGTTCCGGAGCTTGGCCACCACGGCCTCCGCCTCGCGGGGGTGGCGCAGGAAGGCGGCCGCTGCATCAAGCGACCTGCAGCGCTCCCCACGGTCGCGGCGCTCGGCCAGACCTGCGGCCAGCGTCGAGCCGCCCACCAGGGCAACGATCTCCGCAGCCGCGCCGAGCACCGCCTGCGCCCGGCCACCCAACGCGGGGCGAGCATGCATGATGAGAAGGAGCAGGGCAGGATAAGCAGGTCGCACAGGTGCGGCAGCGGCATGACGCCGATGATGATGGTGATGGTGGTGGTGATGATGATGATGATGATGATGATGATGATGCTAAAGGTGGTGATGATGTCGGCCATAGCTATGGCGTTGACGGCGGCAGCGACGACTACCTCGAAAACGATGATGCAGATGATGATGTTGATGCTGATGCTGATGATGCTAGCGATGATGAGTGCGATGGTGGTGGTGGTAATGATGCTAATGATGATGCTGATGATGATGATGATGATGATGCTGCTGATGATGATGGAGACCACAATGATGCTGATGATGACGATGACGATCACGATGGCGATGACGATGATGATGATTATGCTGATGCTGATGCTGCTGATGATGATGATGATGGTGATGGTGATGGTGATGATAATGATGCTGCTGATGCTGACGGTGATCATGATGTTAATGATAACGGTGAGTATGATGTCTGTGGTGGTGATTGTATTGATGATGGTGAGGGCGCTTGTGACGCTCATGATGACGATGACAATGATGATGGTGACTATTACGATGATGAGGAGAGGGTAGTGGCAAAGGGTGGACGGAGGAAGGGGGATGAAAGGTTTGAGGGCAAAGCGAGGGAAAGGCGGGCGGGGTCGAGAGGATGGACGGTGTTAGTTCTGCTCCATCCCAAGGTCCCGATCCCCGGAGGTCCCTGGAGGCTTCCCGAGGCCTCCATAGGCCTGAACGTCGAACAACCTTAGAACATGTTCCCACCCCCTCGCCCCTCGATCTGGAATGACAGAGAGAGTCTCACAAACACGCACGTCGTCGTTCCAACTATGCTTGGTATTGCTTCCCTTCGTGTGTAAGATTCTGGCACTACTTCAGCAACAACCCGCAGATGGGATCGTCCGACCAGCGTGACATTTGGACGTACGGCTCGTGCTCTCCGAATCGAGGACAGCACTCGGCAAGGGAAGGATGGGCCAAGGTGGGCATGGCGGGGCAGGTCGTCGAGAAGGTCGTCATGCGGCAGTGGTGGGGCCTGGCGCGCGACATCGTGGCCAGGTCCCACTCGCAGCAGGCCGGCCGCACCCGGGGCTTCGCTCGGGGGCACGCAGCTGCGTAGTGAGCGGGGCGGGGATGGATGGAGCGAGGACGAGACCCAGTCTCCCACTCGTCGCGAAACATATCCAGGCCTCCCAAGTGGGTTCGAAGTGGAGGTGATCGGAGGATCGCGCCGTATCTTCGATACGGCTCGATGTGGAGCTCGATTTTCTCCGTGCCGAAGTCGCCGATGCATCGCCGACGTGGACGATGCATCGGAGATGCCCTGAGACCGTCGAACAACTACTCAGGATACAGAACCAGCTTTTGGGAAGCGGCCTAGATTTCAAGGGATCTATGTTGTGAACAATGAAAGGGGAGGTTACGAGATCTGCTGCATGCAGCTGGTTTCGGTCCCGCCGCCGGGCCCGACTTCATACATGGGCGCCTCCCGGCGCCGGGAGGCGCCGGGCAGAGCAGCTACGTGAGCTGATTCTCAAGCCCCCTTTTGGCTATTCCCCCATTTCGCCCGACCCGAATTGGGGGGGATGATCCACACGATGATACTTGCCCATCGGTCGTAGAAAGTAGGTGTTTTTGGATTCCCAGGCTCCGATCTGCTGTACGCGCCTTCCGACTTCAATGATCGAATGGCTCTACCTTTTCTGTCCTCTTTCGGGGGCGGGCGGGCACCCGATCTTCTTTCCACGCCTCCTTCCTTCATGGTTCTACCTACTCCTTCCGGCCGATGGGTAGAGGGGAAAGGGAGGATGAGACTTAGGCCACCTTCCATTACCACCCGCCGGAGGAATCGGGGGCCCCCAAATGGTGTGGTGACCACACCGTGCGGTGAGACGGTGGGGATTCCGGGTCACTGCACGGTTTTGGGACTCGAGTCTTTCTCCGAGGATATCTCGGGCGATGGGGGCCTCCAGGGTCCCAAAACCGTGCGGCGACGGACCGTGCGGTGAGGTTTTGGGGGATTTCGAGGTCACCGCGCGGTCCGTCACCGCACCGTTTGGGGGCTCCCCGAGACGAAGCGCGGGCCGGACGAAAGGGGGGGATAGGGAAAAGGAGGGTTACGAGATCTGCTGCAGGCAGCTGGTTTCGGCCCCGCCGCCGGGCCCATTCCTCGATACATGGCCATCTCCGGCGACGGGAGGCGCCGAGAAAATCAGCCACGTGAGCTGATTCTCAAAACCCCCCCCTGTGCTATCCCCCCCTTTCGCCGACCCGAAAAGGGGAAGCGGAGAGTGAGGTCCGCGCGGAGCCTCTACCTCCTCATTTTTCGAGGGAGAGGACTAGGAAGGACCCTGCTTCTCCTTCGCCCAGAGTGGAGGGGAGCAAAGGAACAACAACAAAAAAAAGGCCCGCGTTAACTTGGGGACTCCATAGAGGAAGCGGGGAATGAGGTCCCCCCCCCAAAAAAATTACAATAATAAAAGAATGGGGCCCGCGCGGGTTCCAGGCAGGGCACGCCGCGCACCCGCGCCTGCTGCCGGCCCTCTGCCGCGGCCGCCCCCACGGCGCTGCCCCGCGGGGTGTCTGTGGGGCCTCGGCCCCCCGTGCGGCCCTTTGGGGGCGCCGTCGGCCGGGGCGCCCGAAATGGGTACTGAAAGAATGGGCACGATGCCCAACAACAATTCCTGTTCATTTTCAACAGGATTCGCTGTCCACGCCGCCGCGGCCTGTGTCCATTCGAGACAGAAGGCCGCCTGCCCAACAGCGGCCGCTGTTGGCTTGGGACGACATTTGTTGTTGGGCATCGTGCCCATTCTTTCCGTGCCCATCTCGGGTGTACAAAGGCCTGGGCGCAGGTGCGGGGCACCCCTCGGGGGCAACGACAAGAGGGGGATGGGCATTATGTCAGGAGGGAACAGAAATCGGGCCAGACGAAAGGGTGGGGTTGGGCAGGGGGCGGTACGAAATTTTGGGTTGGGAAGGGGAGGGTGGGGTTGGGAAGGGTGGGGTTGGGAAGGGTGCGGAGCACCCCTCGGTCAGGAGCGACAGAAGGACGTACACGTACATGAATCCACGCTGGTTTCGAGAGTACGCATTGCGCAAATGTTCGTATCACGCGGCCGGTCTCGCGGATCGAGGGGCCGTGTTCATGTACATGGCTGGGCGCGTACGTCCTTTGTGGACTCCCTACTCGGGGGCAACGACAAGAGGGGGATGGGCAATATGTCTGGAGGGAACAGAAACACACAGACACAATGGATCGCCCATTCCCCACAGAGAAGATGGGAAAATGTGGGAAGTGGGGGGGGGAGACGAAAACCTGAGACATGTAGAAACATATGGGGCATGTTTTTATTTGTGTGGATTCGTTTGTGTGTCCTGGGGCATATGGTTATGTCGGGCCTGTCCCTCTACAGGGGGAATATTGAAGAATGGTCAAACACATAGGCTGGGGGTTATTTTGTGACCATGTTTGAGCATCATTTTTGGCGTTTTTTTGTTGGGGGGGGTATCTTTAATGTTCCGTCCAAAATCGGCCTGTAGGGGGACAGGGCCGACTTAAGCATATGGGGGGGTGCATCGACACCCAATCGCCCATTGATCGCCGATAGGGGCCCGATAGGCGATGAATCCACGATTCCAGGTCGATGCATCCCCCCCTATGCCAGTCCCCCCTTCTCGTTGCACCTCAACCCCGAGGCTGGAACGCCGCAGATTTGGACGCTCGAAACTAGTACGGACAAGAAGTGGTACAATGCCCAACAACACATGTTGTTCAGAATCGACAGCGGCCGCTGTTGGGCAGGCGCCTTCTTGTCTTCAGTGAACAATGTCCGCGGCGGCGTGGACAGCGAGTCCTTGTCAAAATGAGCAGGAACTGCTGTTGGGCATTGTGCCCATTCTTTCCGTGCCCATTCTGGTCGCCCCGAGCAGAGAGTCGACGGACGAAGCCGCCAGAAAATTTCGAACCTCGAATCTCCCCCTGAGCCTCTTCGCCGCGAAAAAGAGCTGCCCCCCCCACGAATCCCGACTCCTCCTCATCCTCCTCTTCCTCCTCCTCCTCCTCCTCCTCCTCCTCGTCTTCCCGTGGAGGCAAGGGGGGACCCTGACGCTGCCTCCCCCTGCCTCCTGGTCGCCTGCTGGTGCCGCCTACGCTTCTCCCCCGCCCTCCTCCGAGAGGTGGACCTGTCCTTCTCCGTCCGCAGGGCGGTGAAGACGCTGAAGGAGGAGGCCGACGAGCTGCTTCGGACGCTGAACCCGAAGTACGGTCAGGCGCAGCAGGCGAGGCGGACGCCGATGCTCGTGAGGAAGAGAGTGAGGAGGTCGAGGGGGAGCGGGATGAGGTCAGGGGGGGGGAGGAGGAGGACAGGAAAGGGGAGGGAAGAGAAGAGCGAGTGCGGGAGGGGGACGGAGGATCAGGAAAAGGGCGGTGGCAGGATGCCGGAGGGAGGAGCCGGCCGTGGGGCGGCGGGAGGGAGGAGGCATGACGGGGGGCTGGAGGGAGGAGAGGGGGGGGGGAAGGAGAACGGACGGAGGAGGAACGACGGACGATGACGAGGAGGAGGAGGAGGAGGAGGAGGAGGAGGAGGAGGAGGAGGAGGAGGAGGAGAGGAGAGGGAGGAGGAGAGTGGGGAGGAGAGGAGCGGCCGCGGCGCGGCCTCGCCGGCTCCCCCCGCGCGGCGGGGCCGCCGCGGCCGCGCGGCGGCCGCCCGCCGCCGCGGCGGCCGCCCGCCGCCTCGGCCGGCGGCGGGGCTCCGCCTGCGCAGGCGCCCCGAGGCCAGGCGCGGGCGCCCGCTGCGCGCGCCCTCGCGTTGGCGTGCCGCCGCCGTGTGCGCGAGCCTGCATGCTCAAGCGGAGGGTGCAGTTCGCCCGGGCCTGCGCACGGCGCCGTGCACGAGCCCGCCCGCCTGCCAGCGTGCCCTCCGTCGGGGAGCCAAAAGTGGCATGAACATAACAGCTCGGGATTTCTCGAAATCTCTAAGAATCGGCGGGTTTGGAGGATGTATTGGAAGCCGCGGCCGCTCCAGAGCGTTCCGTATGAGCGAGCCTGCTCAAGCGGAGGGTGCAGTTCGCACGGGCCTGCGCACGGCGCCGTGCACGAGCCCGCCCGCCTGCCAGCGTGCCCTCCGTCGGGGAGCCAAACAATAGGTAGGGGAACCAAAAGTGGCCACAAAGAGTGGCACGAACAGAACAACTCAGATAAACAAAAATAAAAAGAACATACAAAAAACAAACAGCAAAAAGCAACTCGGAGGTCAGCGCGGATTTCTCGGATCGGCGCTGGGGCCCCCCGGCGGCGCCTCCGGCGCCGCCCCCGGCGCGCTCCGCGCGCCAGTGAGGGGGGTCCAGCGCCGATCCGAGAAATCCGCGCGGACCTCCGAGTTTTTATGTTTATGTCACTTTTTGTTCCCCTACTCCACCGTGCACTCGGACCGTGCACCGTCGCCCTCCACCGTGCACGAGGTACAGTTCCACCCGCAGAGCAAGGGGTAGGCATCCCTCCCAAGGGTACCCTTTGCAGCATTGCCTCCTTGGTCCATCCTCTGAAGAGGTACCCATCTCAGGGGGGAAAAATCACACAGACACAAGTAATCGTCGATTCTCAAGAAACTATGGGAAGATATGGGAAGAAGGGGGGGAGACAAAAACCCAGAACATATGGGAAAAGATGGGGAGTCCTGTTATTTGTGTCTATCCACGAGCTTGCACGAGGTTGCACGAGTGCCCTCCACCGTGCACCGTCGCCCTCCACCGCGCACGAGGTACAGTCGACCCGCAGAGCAAGGGGTAGGCATCCCTCCCAAGGGTACCCTTGCAGCCTTGCTCCCTGGGCCCATCCTTGGACACTTTCGTTGGCCGCGCCCCGCTCGAAGCGCTTCGAGATGGGCGTCCAAGGCCCTTTGCATCCTTATCGCGCATCCTTACCATGCAGGTTGACTGTTCCCATACCGCTACCCTTCCCTCGTTTTCCCCTTTTTGGGCCTCCTGGGAGGCTCTCGTCGCCACCGCCGGATTCGCCTCGAGGTTCTGGTCACAACGCACCCCGAGAGAGGACCAGGGAGTGGCGGTGCAGGAGGGAACAGAAACACACAGGCGCAATGAATCGTCGACTCCCAGGAAGATATGGGAAAATGTGGGAGGCGGGCGGGAAGACGAAGACCGCGAAAATATTGAAAAATGTGGGGAATCCTGTTATTTGTGTCTATCTATTTGTGTGTCCCAGGGCCCCTTCCACCGTGCACAAGCTTGTCAGTGGAGGAGAAGCTACCCATACCGCTACCCTCCCCTCGTTTTCCCAGTTTTGGGCCTCCTGGGAGGCTCTCGTCGTCACCGCCGGATTCGCTTCGAATGTTTGGTCAGAACGCACCCCGGCAGAGGTCCGGGGAGTAGCGGTATCGGTATTTTTGGGTTTCCCCAGCTTGTGGGGCTCTGCGCGGAGATCCCGGATCTGCGTTGGGCCCTCCCCCCGGCGGCGTTTCCAGCGCTTCCCATTGCAGCGCGCCAGCGCGCCAGGGAGAGGGGTCCAGCGCAGATCCAAGAAATCCGCGCGAGCCGTCGACCGTCGAAAGTTGAAGGCCACGCCGTCATGTTCTATGTCTAGTGCAGATCGCGCGGCGTCGGCCTGTTCCGCGGCCTCCGCTAGCTGCAGGCCTTCCCGGCGCATGTCTTGAGCAGGTCGTAGGTCTATGATGTTCCAACCTATTTTAGCCTCGACCACCAGAAATAATTTCGAGCACCAAGAAAGTACCGAAACTGGAGGGTTTGCATGTGTCGGGCCCTGGGATGCGATACTCGTTCGACACGTTCTCGATACCTTCCTGGGTGCTCGAAGTCATGCCTGGGATGAAGCCCTCGAGTACGATGGGAGCAACATAATCGTTGAGCAGGTCTCCCGCCCGTCCTCACCGGGCTTGGCATCGTTCGGACGTGTGCATTCTTCCTTCGGCGAGGACCATCGATGAGCATCCTGGATCGTTTGGCGAAAAAAACACGCACACAACCGAGAACAAAAACACAGGGAATGGACGTCCGAGCGATGCCCAGTCATCGCAGAGCAGGTCTCCCGCCCGTCCTCACCGGGTGCCCCCGCCAGCGCCGTGGCCCCCTCTCTGCCAGCCCATCCTAGGCAGGGAGGGAGGGGATGGAGGGAGGCTAGACTCGACCCTGAAAGGTCATGCAGATAAATTCTAGACGCTTCGCGTATCCCCACCAGCCCGTCCAGAAACGACGCCCAGGCGAGTAGAGGGTCGTCCTGAGGGGCTTTTCGGCGTCTTGGGTGCCTCGGGGGGGCCTCTTTGGGCCGTTCGGGATCCTCTTGGGGGCCTCCTGGGGGCCTCTTGGGGCCATCTTGGGGCCATCTTGGGGCCTCTTGGTGCCTCCTGGGCGCTTCTTGGGGCCATCTTAGAGGAAATCGATCAAAGAAGAGGGGAGCTTCAATTAGCGCTGCCCCCTCAGAAGGCCAAAATGGGGCCAAAACCTTAGTAAAATCAATGATTTTGGCTTCCTCGGCGAGGCCGTTTTGGACGCTCTGACCGCTCCCCGCCCCCCTTGTCCAGGTCAGTGGGGAGGGGGTAGGGGGAGGGGTAGACCCCTCCCCGAAGGGGAAGAAGGAGGGGTGGAAGAGGAAACTCGTTAAACCACCGACGCCCTAAAGGGCTGGTGGGATTCAAGCAGCCCGAGGACCCCCCCAGCCCCTGACCCTGGTCCACCCCAACGACACGCCTGGTAGTGCGACAAGGAGACGTCATGGACAAAGGAAGAAGACTACTTTTTGTCCCTCGGCTTCGGCCTCGCGGGGCCCGTCCCCGGGCCCATGGGGGCCACGACCGACGGATCCGGGGCGAAGCGGTGGCGCGCAGAGGGGGGTGAATGGGGGAAGGGCTTCGTAGAAGCAGGGATGCCCCTAAGATGAAGTCGGGCGTGTCCCCCTAAACAGGGAATTCCGACGAAAAGTACAGAATCGGGGGAAACAAAAAATACACAATAAGATATCCAAAAGTGGTGAACAAATCGCCCCCAGACTATTTGTTTCACTATTTTTGAATCTCCCCCCCGTAGAGGGACAGGCCCGACTTAACCCCAAGAAGCCCTCCCCCCTCCTCCACAGTGATACCCCTGCTGCGCGCCGCCAGGCGAGAGCACCGGCCCCCATCGGGGAGGGGCCGGGGCTTCCCTGGGGCCACGCACGGAGAAGGTCACATCTCAGGAGGGGGGGGGGGGAAAACACACAGACACAACGAATCGTCGATTCCCCCGAAAATATGGGAAAAGATGGGAAGTGGGGGGGAAGACAAAAACCCAGAAAGTAGATTGAAACATATGGTGAATCCTTTAACTTGCATGTATTTAATTGTGTGTCCCAGGGCCCCTTCAACATCGTCGGCTGTCTTGGGCCTCGCGCGGGGGTTGGGCGGGCGCTGCCGCCGGCCCGCGCGGTCCTTCGTCGTTGTGCCACGGCGCTCGGGGGCTTCTGTCGGGGGCAGCGTTGGTCGGCCAGGCGCAGGAGGGGGGCGGGGGGGTGGGAGGAGGGCTTCTTAGAAGCACCCCTGCTCAGTGAAAGGCGCGGGCTTATACATATGTATACATGTGTATATATATATAGATATGTGTATATGTGTGTATATGTGTATATATGTACATATATGTAAGCATATGCATGTATATGCATATTCATGTACACATATATACATTTATATACACACATATCTATGTATGTATACAAGTACCGTGCCTTCTAAGAAGCAGCCTCCTTCTGAGAAGGCTTCCCCCTCTCCCATACCTCCTTGTGCGCGCCGCCACGTGGCACCCTCTCTGGGTCCCCGGGCCGTGAGGAGACGGCACGGGATGAAGAGCTGGCTCTGCAGGAGGGCCCCGGGATCCAGGAGCCGTTCCCCCTTTTAGAACCCGCTCGCGTCGCCAGATCTCTTCCTCTCAGCCACGCGCAGAGGGGGGTGGGGGGAGGAGGGAGGGCTTCTTAGAAGCACCCCTGCTTCTTAGAAGCCACGGGCCTTCTCTATAGATGTACGGCCGGCGCCTTCTAAGAAGCAGCCTCCTTCTAAGAAGCCCTCTCCCCTCCCTCCACCCCCTTGTGCGCGCCGCCAATCCTCCCCCGCCACGGCCACGTCCCCCTCCTGCTCGGATCTGGAAGCTTCGGACCCCGGAAGCGCTTCCGCCCCGGCCGCAGGTGGCCCCCGCTTTCCAGTGGGCGCAGAACGACACCAGCATCTTCCTCACGATCAAGTACACCGTGCGGTGGAACGCGCCTGGGGCCTTGGAGGACTGACGCTTTGCGCAAGAAGGGAAGAGGAGGAGGAAGAGGAGGAGGAGGAGGAGGAGGAAGACCATGAGGTGGAGTCCAAGGAGCGAAGGACGGCGAGAAGGAAAGCCTCGCTCTCTAACGCTTCGGTCCACCCGACGGCTCGCTAGAGAAAAGACGGCCTCTGTCCTCCTCGCCCTGGTTCGTCCTCTCTCCCTTTCTCTCTCTCTCTCTTTTTCTCTCTCTCTCTCTCTCTCTTTCTCTCTCTCTCTCTCTCTTTCTTTCTTTCTTGTTATTTCTCTATCTCCCTCTCCTCTCCACCAATCAATCATTACATCTCTGTATCTCTCTCTCTCTCTGTCCCTCCTATTGTTTTGCTGTCTTTTTTTTTTCCTCTCTCTCTCTCTCTCCCCATCTCTCTCCGTCCTCTGCGGGCAGCAGCTGCCCGCTCAAATCCACGAGATCCCAACCTCGTTGACTCCCCGGTGCCAGCATTCCGACCGGTGCCCGAGCGGGAGGTCGGGAACGGGAGGGGGATGGAGCGGAGGAGAGGGAGGGACGAAGCGCTCGCGGGGGAGGAGGAGGAGGAGGAGGAGGAGGAGGAGGAGGAGGAGGAGGAGGAGGAGGAGGAGGAGGAGGAGGAGGCGGCACTTTCGCTTCCCCCCCGCCCCGAAATCCGTTGACAAATGCGAGACTTGCGGACGACGTGCTTCTATTGGCGTGCAGCGGATCTGACGTTGCAGAAATGCTTCGCGCCCTCGAGGGCGCGACGTTATTCGCGGTTCGGCTCCGATCCCTCCTCGTCATCCTCTTCTCCCCTGGGAGGCGGCGCGAGAGCGCGAAGTTATTCGCACGTCGCGCTTCGCGCAGCGCGAAGCGCGAAGTTGGGAGCCCTCGGAAGAGGTGGATGGGAGAAATGTTGACTCTCAGAGTCCATAGTGCCGCTTTCGCTTCCCCCCCGCCCCGATCGCAGTCCACATCGTTTCATCCGCTGCCACGTAGCCAGCTTGAGCTCTTGAGTTATTGGAGCTTCGCGTATCCCCACCAGCCCATCCATCAGCGATCGCCAGGCGAGTTGTTCTGGTCGGGCAAGTGCAGAAGTACGCAGTCGAACCGCTGATCCGAAGGATTCATGTCTTGGTATTATTTCTGACTCTATTGGGCTTTTCGTTGAGCTCCCTCGGGACCTTATCGGGGACAAGATGGAGGAGGAGGCGGGGTAAAGACGACGACCAGGGGAAGAAAGAGGATGACGAGGGCGACGAGGGGGAGAAGGACGACGAGTATGATAAGGAGGAGAACGACGACGAGGAGGCGGAAGACTACGACGAAAACGAAGACAAGGACGAGGACGAGGAAACGAAGACGTCAAGGAGGAGGACGACGAGGATGAGATTTCTTCGAGCCATCTTGGATTATTGTTGGGGTCCTCTTGAGGTCTTCTTTGGGTGCATTTGGGTCCCTCGTGGAAGGCCTTCTTATGGGACGTCGATGAAAAGATAGGGGCCCTGGATTCGTCTCCCCCCCAGGGACGTTCATAGCGTCTTGTGGGGCGCTTTTGGGCGCTGATTGGGTTGGTTGTGGGGCGCGTTTGGGCGCTTTTGTAGTGCGGTGTTTGAACGGTGTGGGCCTGCTGGGGGGGGGTCCGCGGAGGGCTTCGAGAGCAGATGGAACCATCTTGTGGCTCTCTTGCAGCTTCTTGGAGACCTGAAAGAGGCAATCTTAAATGTTCATGTGTTTTCTTCCGTCATCATGGAGGCCATCTTGAAGTGTCGTATGCCTTCTTGGAGCCATCTAGCAGCTCGCGACCCGGCCCGAAAAGCCTCAGGGAGGGGAAAGATACCCGTCCCGGAAAAGAGGCAAGAAAATCGTCGTTAGACCACCTGTGCCCAGCTGGCTGGTGAGACTCGTGACCCGATCGTTTCGCCCATCCCGCCACCTCATACTAATGTGTCATCGGTTGCACTTGTCTGCGTCATCGCGGGGGCTGAGAAGGTGGTGGGTGGCAGTTGCATGTAGACGCCAGGCCCCAGAGGGCAGGCCCTCCCTCGGCCTATCCCTGTAGGGCCTGGTTCCCCGTGGGCCCACCCGAGGCATACCCCTGGGGCCCGCCCCTGGGCCTCACCCAGGGCCTGCCCCTCGGGCCTGCCTCTGGGCCAACCCCGAGGCCTGCCCCGAGGCCCTACCCCTAGGCCTCTCGAGGCGCCTCATCCGGACTCGGGTTGCATGCCGTCCGCCCCCCCGCCCCGCTCCTCGAGCCGCCCTGGCGGCCCTCGCCCTCGGCCCGGCCTTCCGCGGCAGCCCCGGCAGCTGTGGCCAGCCTGCCACACAGCTGGCACGGGGGGATCGAAGAAGAAAACAAAACGGCACAAACAGAAACCGTCGTTCGGATGCAACTCGTGGGAGGTCAAATTCTGATTTTGCCCTGGTCCGAAATCCGGCTTCATCTCGCATAACCCCGCTTCATCTGGCTCAATCCCGCGGAATCCGGCTTAATCCGCTTGATCCGGCTGGACCCCGCTGAATCCGAGGCCCACTCCGGCGTAACAGCTCCCAACTGGGGCTTAATTCTTTTTACTTTTCATTTCTTCCGACGAAAGCCTCCCAGTGGTTGCCTTCTAACTGTCGGGCAGCAGCTCCGCCCGGATTCCTTGGATCTGCGCTGGGGTCCCACGCCGGCGCCGCCCTTGGCGCCGCCCCTGCCGCGCCAGGGAGGGGGCACCAGCGCAGCTCCAGGAAAGCTGGGCGGAAGGGCGAAGGTTTGTGTTTCTGTCGTGATCCCTTCTTCCAGGGGGGCAGACACATGTCTCAGGAGGGAAAAAGCACACAGACACCATGATTCGTCGATTCCCCGGAAAATATAGGAAAACACGGGAAGAGGGTGAAGACAACAACCCAGAAAATATATGGGAAAATCTATGGGGACTCCTGTCATTTGTGTGTATATTTATATGTGTGTCCTTGGGCCCCTTCAAAATTTCTATGGGTTGGAGGGGTGCCCTGACGCTCGTAAATGTCGGAGCTTCCTCCGCCCGGTAGTGTTTCTTTTTTGTTTGGGTTTTTTGTTGTTTGGGGTGTTTCTCCATGGGTCCTCGGGGGCCTCGGCGACGGGGCTCGTGCTCTTTGGCCTCCGCTCCCCGTCGCCATCCTATTCCACCTGCTCCTCACGCCAGGGCTCGACCAACGCAGTGTTCTTCGTGTTCGTTTTGTGTTTGTTTTCCCCCGCTGTGTTTTGGGGATTCCACCTACGAGGGGATTGTCGACGGAAAATAAAACATACACAAAAATGCCCCAACAAAAAAATACTCAAAAAATAGTCCCCTGATTATTTTTGGATTATGTTTGGGGTATTTTTTATTTTTCGTCGAAAATCCCCCTGTAGGGGGACAGGCCCGACTTAACCATCATTCCACCTGCTCCTCACGCCATTGCTCGACCAACACAGTGTTCTTCGTTTTTTCGTTTTGTGCTTGCCTTCCCTCGCTGTGCTTCCAATCCGCCCGTGTTGCAAGACGAGATCGAAACGACAATCTCCCACGACGTGGCCAAAACACCGTTCAGGCTGAGCCCTGCCTCACGCCGTAAGAAGCGCGTGGCTGTGGTCCCGCCGACGTGCCGCAGAGGCTACCGACATCAACGTGTTGATGGAGGGCAACTTCTTCAACTTCAGCGGCCTCGGGAAGCACTCCAACAACAAGTGCCGCTTTCCGTGTTGTCGACATCGACCGGCGGAGTTCCGGCCGCGTTCGCAGGACAGTTTGTTGAGTTGGCTTGGGCATTCGGTATGCATGGTGTCACCGCCCACCAAACCACCCCAACCCAACCCGAAGGCCTCAATTTGCCCTCCATTTCCAGTTGCAGGGGTTCGGGAACATCGAGAAAACACATATGAAACCCGTACCCCCCCCAACCCGAAATTCGGGTCTTCGGGTTGGGTTGGGGAGGTCTGGTAGGCAGTCATGGTGTGTCGCACCATCATTGCCTTCAGTTGTCGTACCTCTTCTCCCCAAATAGAGCTGTAAAACGGCATGTGCCGCACCCTCAGCACAAGATCAGTCCTTGGCCCCAGGGAGGTTTTGGACGGGCGCGGCATTGGCCTTCGCCCTCACGCAGGAGCTTGCTTGCGTGTCCCACGCCGATGTCCATGCCAAGAGCAGCAGCTGACTGCTTGTGGGCACCGCAGAGCCTGGATACGATTGGGTTCCCGGGGGCCTTCCAAATCCACTCGAGAATGCAAGGCCCTGTGACGCTGGAGGAGGAGGAGCAGGAGCTGGAGATGGGCAGCATCGATTTGCGAGGGAATCGAGGCTTGGGGTTCTGGACCCATCCTGGATCTCTGGAGGCTGCTGGAGGCTTCCAGAGACTGGATGCTCCGGACGTCAAGATAAAGCACGAAATGAGGAGAGGGGGGAGAGAGAGGAGTGCTGGAAGGATGGAGGTTGGTGGCGGGGGGTAGAGGGCGCGAGGGGGGAAACCAGGGGAGGTGGATGTCGATATTTCATGCGCAGGGGGCGGAGAGTTGATGTCGGGTAGACATACAGACGAGCCTCCATTGAAACGCGAACCACTGCCATCCCTCCACCTCCAAACCCTCCCCCGTTCCCCGGTCTTTCTTCATCCCTTCTCCCTCACTGCGTCTCGTCGTCCAACAATCCGTCCGCCCCCTCTCCTCTCCCTCCCTCTCTATCCTCGCCCCCCGCGTCCATCCTCGTCCTGCCCCTCCCTTCTCTTCCTTCCTCCTCGTCCCTGCCCCGTCTTGCTCCCACTCCCTCCCTCCCCGTTCCCTCCTCTGCCCCCCGTTCCCCACTCCCTCCTCCCTCTGTATCTCCCCTCCCCACCCCCTTCCCTCTTCGAGCCCCCTCCCTGGGAGGTACAAGTACGTGCTCGGCCTTTCGCTGTTCGACGCGATCATGCCGCAGGCTGGGTGCCCCTCCCCAGTTGCGGCCAACCAGAGCCAGGGCTGCCCGCCCCATCTCAGGAGGGAAAAAAGCACACAGACACAATGAATCGTCGATCCCCCAGAGGATACGGGAGACTATGGGAAGTGGGGGGGGGGGGGGGGAAGACAACACAGCAGAAAAACATCTGGGAAAGTATGGGGAATCTATTTATCTGTGTGTACTTATTTGTGTGTCCCGGGGCCCCTTCAGCATCCTCCCCTCCTCCTCCTCCTCCTCCTCCTCCTGCTCCTCCTCCTCCTCCTCCTCCTCCTCCTCCTCCTCATCATCATCATCCCTACCCTCCCCCTCTCCACTCTCCTCGCAGCCCGAGCGCGGGCCCGCGGGGGACGCGCCCTGCCCCGACGGCGGCGGCGGCAGCACGCTCGCGCACCTGCTGCCCACGCACGGAACACTCTGTGACCTCCGGCCGGCATCTCCGCCCTCCTGCTTTCCTGCCGCTCTCTAGGGGGCCACATGCGAACCCTACCCCTACCCCCCACGATTTCTGAGGGGGAGGGTGGGGTTCACATGTGGCCCCCTAACTCTCGCCCCTCGCCCCATTCGTCCCCCCTCGCCCCTACACGCCGAGCCCCCCCCCCCCTCATCGGGTAG